TCAAAACAGAAATTTGAGCTTGGATATCCAAAGGCAAATGGCTGATAACATATACACATTTTGTTAATCGTACGTGAAATTCATCATGAGATACAATTTGGAATTAATCTCACATCTCCAACCCCGCCGTGTACCTCACCCTGGTGGAAGGCAGCCAATTGTTCCCATTGATGAATTGAGCCACCGTAAACTTATCCGCCTCACCCGGGTCATTAATCACATGGTAACCGGTCCAATTAACCCGCCCCACCAATCCAGCTCCCGGCCCATAATTCTTGTACTCCCCGTAATACAAAGTGTCCAGTGCAAAACTCTTATCCCACTCCAACCACCCCTCGACCCGGATCACATTGTTGATGTACGACTCCATCACGACCGTCCTAGCGTACTTTCTCCAGGGCCTGCCGAGGTAAGTTGGGTTGGAGCGTGGAGATGACATCAGCTCCGGCTCCCCCGTGATGTTACAGAACTGGATTGAAAATCCCGAACTTTCGCCCAAGTCGGACCGCCCATTGGCAGTGATGGTGTTCTTTTGATTGGGGAGTCCTTTGCGTGCCACCATCTCGCAGTTCTGGAAGACGACTGTGCCGTGGCCGAAGATGAAGTCCACCGTGCCTGTGATTTTGCACTCCCGGTAAAATTGGCGCAAGTTGTGAGGGTAAAGGGTGTCCTGGAACCCTCTAAACCCGCACCGGTACAGCGCAGATAGGTCGGACTCGGAACGGAATGCAACGGCTTGGTGCATTTCCGGGTCTGCCGTGTTCTCGAACGTCATGTCTCGGGCTATGAAGCCTCGCCCACTGGCGGCTGTATTATTTTTTGAAATCAACAAACTTTATGGTGTGTTTGTATATGAAAATACTTCATTCATATTCAATTCATATTAAAACACAGTTCTTAATTAATGATAATGATGAAAATCATTACATTAATTATGAACTTGTGCAATCTCACAAAGAATAATATATAAGAAAAATCCAACAATTCAGATATAAATAACGTAAACGAAAAATGAAGAAGTCGATCTTACTGAACGTGGGCGTGCTGAAGGTGGTCCAGCCGGCGGCATAGTTGCGGCTCCCGGAGATCACGGTGGCATCTATCCCATCTCCCACCAACATAATGTTCCATTTCTTCTTGTCAATATGCACGTACTCCCTGTAAACGCCTCCCTTTACGTAGATCATGAACCTCGTGCGGCTGTGCGCCGGTGCTGCCTCGACTGCCGCTTGAATGCTCGTGAAATTTCCAGTGCCATCCGCCGCCACCACGGCATTGGCGGCCATGCTTCCGGTGGACTGGAGTAGTTTCCGGTCTTCCGGTTTCAACCAGTTGGGAAAGTCTCCCTTGGAAGGGCCGGGCGGAGGGTCTGGACTGACCATTGAAAGAAGTTTCCCGACGGAGGAGGTGATCTGATCGAGGCTGCCGGAGATTAGGGTTTGGAGTCGGCTGTTTGTGCCCTCAAACCCTTCTCTGCAGGTGTCTTGGTTCGCAAGTGCTCCACTTAGCCAGCATCTCATGTCCGCGTTCGCATTTCCGGTGCCTTCATTGTTGCCTGTATTTATTTCATGACCCCTAATTAAATACTAGTTTATTACGGTTTTCATGTTTCTAATTTTTTTTTTTTTCAATTATTTATGCGTTGGTAATTTGGAGGAGTTAGTACAACGATAGGCATTGCCAAAATTCCAAAAAATGACTTTACAATTAAACGGACAGAAATTGAAATTTTGCCTTAAGTTGGCTATGTAATTAAACTTCACCTAAATACAAAACGTACAAATTAAAACAAAACAAGTATAATGAATACCATTTGGATTCATGGAAACAGAGAGGGAGGATGTCAACAGATCAACGGTGAAGTCCATCAAGTATAGGCAGTCGGCAGTGGCGTTGTTAAGTCGGTAATCGGTAACATTGCCGGAAAATTTAGATATGGTATTGACCACGTGCCGGACTTCGCTAATTGTGGTCCCCACTGTCTGCGAAAATTTTGATTGGGGGACCCTCAAACACTCGGACTCGCCCAAACCCGAGAGCCCACCGTGGACAAAATAAGAAACTATTATCACTGCCTGAAACAGAATTTCCGGATAAAAGTAACCTGCCATTTTGAGGTCAAATCGTTTATTGTAAAAGTGGGCAATTTGTGAAGTGTTGTGTGAGCATGCAGAAGAAGTGGCAAAAGGAATGATGGGAAAAGTTTACTTACAAAATATTTGTGGTTATTATTGACAAGAAAAGGAGGGTATATATAGGTGGTGGATCAATGAAATAATATTTTTGAGATATCTCTTTATATATTAATTCAAAACGTGATATGTTTAAGTGGAACGCTCGAATGCTTTGGGATCTTATATGACAAAATTACATGTTTCGTTATTAGAATTGGGTAGATTTTAAATTAATTACTTGCAATCCAAACATAATTAGGTCTGGATTATCCATGAATATGTTGATTATTTATGGTCATGTTACATGATAATTGCATTTTAATATTATTTTTTATAGTAACCATATTAAATTGTAAATGTATTTAAAAGTTAATAGCTTTTGTATATTTTATCAGTTTCACATACAAATTAATCCTCTCTTGATGAGCTTCGATTTAAATAGAATTATTTTTTTAATATTAATTAGAAAATAAAATTATTTATCATTTTATATTATTTATATTTCAAACAGTTATATGATATAAGTTATATAAATTACTATAATATAACATATGTAAGTCGCACAAGTAACAAGTGTCTTTTTAAAATACATAATAATATATATTTTTTGTAAAAAAGTAAATAAAATTTAAAATAATTTTTATCATTAATTTTACAATTTAATAATAATTATTTAACAAGCACCCTTGTATTATACATGTATTGTACTAGTATATTATATTTAAGAATGTATATAAGGTAAAAGTTGGTCTCTTTCAATGGGAGAAAATCAATTTTTTGCATGAAATCTGAAATCACAAAGTCATTAATTCTACTATATTAATTAAGCTCAAAAAGTTATGGGCTGGGAGTTAACTTTGTTTATTTGATACTCCCTCTGCTTTATCAACTATTAACTAAACAAATGTCGTTTTGGATCTTTTGTACATATTTTTTCAATATTACTCTCATTTAGTTAATAAATACATTATGTCTTTTTATATTCACTCTTCATTTTTTTTTCTCAAGACATTCATCTCTATTTCATTAAATAAGGTTATTATTGACAAAAAAAAAATATTTTTAATTAATGTGCAACTTTTTAAAATGACATATATTAAAAATAGGAGGTAGTATCAATTTTGATTGATTTACAGTTAAATTAATGAGTTAGATGTATCCCTCTTTTTAACAACTAAAACTGAGTGCAAATAATAGAGTGCACGCATGCCAGCCCATCTAAAGATCTTTTCCTTATCTTTGGAGCTTTCCAGGTTTGAGAACCTGTAGAGGGCCCTTTTCTACCTTCCTTCTTCTCTAAGCACTCTATTCGAGAGACATAAATTCCTTTTGTTTTGTTAAACACTAATGGGGGCGATTTCATAATTCTTCCTCGTATAAAAAAAAACTATTCACATATATGAAAAACTTTCATAATAATCAACCTAGAAAAATTCCATTACAAGATCTAATTTCATGGAATTATATCAATAATTATTATTATTTATTTTTTTACGGAATGATAGATAAATCAATTAAACCGAATGTTATACCACAAATACCTGAGCCACTGGACCGCTCCTCTCCGAACGGGGTTGCGTCTTCTTGATCATCGGTACCTGCAAAGCACGCCGGGGGTGGTCTCGGCACGAACACTCTGACGCTCAAGTCAGTGGTGGTCCAAAGAGAAAACGACAGAGTAACGAGACAACAAGTATGTGTGTGTTGTGTAAAACGAATGAAACCTGCTCCTTTTATAGGAGAAGTTTGGAGAGTTCTCATGAGACAAGAAGTTTTCTTCATGTATATCTCTTAATTAGGTCAAAAGATTATACATCCATAG